TTATACTGTATTTTCCCGAGAATTAAAAAAAAATAACATGCTTTAATTGATGAATGAATAGCACGTCTATATTCTCGGAATATTGACTCGATGCTTATTAGAAAGAAGTAAGTCGTTCAACTCACGCGAGATCTCGTGGGATTGTGATCTCACGGGAATATTTAAATTAATATTCTGTAAATGGCGCGACCATTGGTATGCGTTACGCGTCCCCGGAGTACAATCCATTCACACAAAAACATCGGTTTGCACACCGCGAGATTTGATAAACTAATAATAAAACATGCCTGACGACACAACGGCACGTATTTACTTAGCCACAAAAGGAGATTCACTTAGGTTCTTGTAGATTAACAAAGTACAAATATACACTCGGAAAGATAATGAAGTAAATATTGAATCAATTGTGAAGATTTCCAATTGGTTTTATATTTACTTTATGATGTTATTAATGAAAGTGATCACGTGAACGAGATTTCGCAGTGTTCTATACACGCTCGGTCGTGTGATATTCTTACCACCGTTAGCTTCAGTTTATTCCCGCCAAAATATATGTTCAACCTAGTTTTTTAAATATTTTGTACAATTTTGAAGATTTGAAGATAACTTTTGGACCACATTAATTCAGTTTTTTACTGTCAAGAAATCGTACTCAAAATAGAAGAGCATTGGACGTAAAAGCAAAAGTTTTTGGGACTTTTTCGTCCTAAATTATGGGATGGCGTGTACACCTTGTAATAATTGTTCTCCCGTAATGCAACCATATTATATTAAACAATTACGCACAAAGTTCAATTTAAATAATTAGAAAGTTTATCCAAACCAAATGTTATTTTCTTAGCTTATCAGCCCTTTCGAACAATATTTGTACATGATTTTGAAGTACAATTTATAGGAGTTATTATATTTATGATACCAATAATATACAAATAACAAGAATACACATTGGGGTGTGTTTAAACTATTTTTGGCGCATTCCTTATGATTGTTTTCATAATAACAATTAAATAGCAATTTTTGGCACACAAATAATACACAGTCACGGATCCACAACTCACGGGGCAATATTTGTGTAATACTAGTATACATTTCCTTATTGTGACATGCGCGATGAGTATTGAATATTTCCGGTTCCGGTGACATGATGTAACAATGTACCTTAGATGTAAATGGCCGCCGAGAGCGAGAGGTACGGGACTTGTGTTTATTCACAGTCCCTCTATCAGGGACTGTGGTTTATTATACGTCTCTGGTCTGGTCCGGTCAATGACAATCACCATGACGCCATTCTTGGTTTATGCAAATAAGGGAGAGTCATTTACACCTACAACATCACGCGTTTGATCGTGTCGGCCTCAGGCTGAACATTGGTTAGCCATTTAACTCCGAGTGTGTTGATACTACTAATAAAATACCGCAGGGAAAATAACGATCCACGAAAGTGGAATGGCGACTTCATGATTAAAGCGGGGGAGTCGTCACCTGCGCATGCGGCAGTCTGCCATAGCGTGTCGTTGTTTACAAACAGGCGTTTACCCATGAGTCTTTGCGTCTTTAGCGCGCGTTGTTATCGTCGCTTGGGATTCAATTCTCGCTTTTTTAGATGAAAATCGAGTCGATCAAGATATAATTTTGTTTCCGTGACATCATTGTCATCATTATTACGTCGAAGTTTATATACAAGGCGGAATTTGATACGCCAAAAACAAAACGATAAAATTGTCAACAACCAAGCTGTCCTCTGATTGGTCTGACTGAGAGATGTTAGGTTCGGGTAGCCAATCAGGCCAAATCTTGTAAATCTCGGCATGTAACGATTGTGGGCCGAGAAACAAATGATTCCACTCGTCGCAGCGAGAACAGCCTGACAATACCGCTCCTTATTTACCCTGACAGCGTTACATTGTCACGTCAACGAATACAGTGTCTACTGTAAAACATGTATTTTTAGCTAGCATGTTATTTAAGCTATTTTAGCTAATCTGTAATGTCGCTAATTCAAGATGTAGCTAATTTAACAGAAAGTATATTATCACAGGAAGATAGTTGACACTTTAGCTAAATTAGAATTTTGTTAATTCATGCCATGAGTCAAATCCGCTGAAATAGCATGCAGCTATTTCAACGTGTTCTACAGTAATTTGTATAAGTGTCTTTGTTGCTCAGCGCTGAATGAACACAACGCGACCACAATGTTGCCACCGTCACGTGGCAACACTATGGACATACCACGTGACGCGGTTACTGTTCTCAGGGGTACTTAGTTGTTTTATGATTTAATTGCATAGGTCCCCGTTGCGTAATTAGATTCAATTATCGTTTATTTCCCGCTGAACTATCAAAATAATTAAATTGTACTGCGTGAATTTGTTTTCACGCATTGATTAGATTAATTGATGGGATCATGAACAAAACGAAGCGGACGCGAAACAAGATAAAGCGCACGGAAAACGATAGGAGTTGGGAGAAAATAATAGGACTGTGGATAAGCACTGTAGTTTAAAGTCGTCGTGCCGCGTCCTGTTCGATATGGGACTCATAGCGACGTGTACAACGCGTGTAAAATACATTGTTTATTTACATGAAATTCAAACACGCGCTGCGCGACGACCACCGCGCTTTAAATCATTCCGAAAAAAAGAGTCGCACGTGATGGACCGGGTGATGCTGTGTCGAGTCTACATTAGTTAGTAAATAGCGACGAGATTGCTGTTTATCTAGGCTGAAAAGGAAAATATACATGGGTCTACACTTTGTTAACACAACATTAACTAATGTGATGTATACTTGTACATGTACTCGGTACTTAGACATAATTATTGTCAATTTCAGCGAACACAACAAGATGTTTTGGTGCATACTATAAGTAATAGTGGGTGGGAAATATTCTACCTATGGGAAGGACGCTTTATTTCTCTGCACACAGTTAAGCGGTCAGACATATTTTGGTGCGGGTTTTGATGAGTATTTATATTTTTCTTCATATAGCAAGCACTAGTAGTTTACAATGAGTCACTAAACAACCCAGCTTTTTTTAATAATTTGAATGGAAATGTTTGAGATTTTTGATTTTTATAAAGCGGCTGTTTCCTCAGCTCACTTTTCATTTTCATATCTCGCTGCTGTTTTATTTATTTATTTTATCTGTTTATTGAATTCGGTCGATACTACCTCCAAAAATATATATTAAAGCAACATCTAAATGAATTTCACCATGAGTATTATAAAAAGGAATTCGAAATTGTTATATATACTAGTATGTAACGGATTTTGTGTTTATTTATTTGTCGGTGATAAATGCACTGTTTCATGGGAAAATTTGTGTCATTTAAGTTAATTTTTTTATATAATCCGCCGAACTGAAATAAACTGCTAAACCTACCATCTCCAGGCACCACAGCGCATTGTGTAGGTTCCCGGCGTTCAATGACCTGCATAGGAAACCTCTATCGAAAAATATCAAACAGTTGTGTTTAAAAAAATGATTGCAAGTTTTTTCTCTGCTCATCATAACTCTCTCACATTCCTTTGCACGCAACCCCTGAGAAAAACCCTTGTCTACCGGGCCCAAATTAATAGGGAGTAACACACAGTATTGGAAGACCTGTCCACCAATCACACGAGAGCTGAAAAATACCAACAAAATATTTGTTGTTGTACTTAAGGTAGAAGCCTACTCAGAATTTATTCATTTTGCAACAAACTGTACTCCAAGGCAATATAGGGATATTGACTTAAAAAAAAGTTGGGGGTCACCAGCCTTATTTTCGAGATATTGATGGTTTTATTTTAGTGGAAAGTCGCCATTTTGGCATTATCATAATGCTTTTACCATAGGTTCCTATGGCAGAGATATTATGCAATATCTCAAAATCTAGCCTGGTGACATAGGCTGAAAAAATCATATATTGTTAATGAAGGAGTACTTTTTGTTGTTCTGATTTTTTTTTTTAATCTGGGTTTTAAAAAGTGTCAACAAATTTTTCTTTAACATTGTGTTCTATGGAATTGTTCTAAAAATAGCGATTTTCAAGAAATATTAGAACACGTTTGTCTAAAAACTTAACTGTAACACACAAAATAATGCTATTTCATTGTACCATGAGACATTAGCTTCATGATTGTACATAATAAACTAATGAACATTGTCATGAGATTTATGACCAATTTTGTCAAAAAATTGTGAGTAGGCTTCTACCTTAACAAATGAGCTTAGCACTAAACATTTGTTGGATTAAGCATGGAAGGTACTAACGTGGATTAACATAGGATTTAGATCGTGTTATATCTAAACCTCACTTGGAATAACTCAGGCTGTAATCATGGCTTACAACTGATGGGATATCGACGCCTTCAGTTCCCGGAAACAAAAAAGAAAACATTCGCAACTTTTAGATTCGAACCGCGCGCGAGCTATCCGATTGTAACACGCGAGTGTCACGGTTGATTTCGTGGTCATCGCTCTCACGACACCGTTTAGATGTATCACAGAGTGACTGTAGTTGTATCCTGACTCGGTGATTCGCCGTTATATCCGTCGCTGCCAGGTATCCGCACGTTATGGCGAGTTGTACGCGTGCTTCAGCACTTATAAAGCCTTACTACGAGAATCAAAGATATCTTTTTTTTATTTTTACGGAGGCGCAATTGGATAGCAACGGAGACGCAACGGATCAATGCCACTCCCCACTCAAAGCTGGCAAGGTTTCGAGCTTCGCACAAAGCACACTCGTAACACGCGGACACAATACCGTTGTCATTGACGAACTATTGAATAACTCGAGACAGGTTTCAACAATTGAGCAGATCGATTGTTCGAAAACAATAACATTGGTTTCAGTCATCCTAGCGCCTGTTGTAACTCGTATACATACGGGTTTTTTTTTTTGGACAGACTTGTGTCATTGCTGCCCGGCCGATGAAGAATTGGTACCGTGTGATGCGACTAAATATGCGACAGTTTCCCGGATGTTAAAATAAAATTAAATGAAAGATCCTACCTCTCCTCCTGTATTCGTCGACGTCCATATCGTCAACGTTTTTTTTTTATCACAGTTGCCTGAAGTCTATATTAAGTGAAAGTTGTATAGCGACGATCAGCGGCGGAAGAAAATCAATTAATGCAGGTGATTGGAAAACCGGTGACCGGTACGGTGAGTGCCGAGGTGACGGCGTTGCGGGTTGTGCACTGACTTTCTGACTGACAAGTGAATGGAGATGTAGCGAAGACAGTCGTATATATATACACGCAGTGGACAGATACACTTTCACATTCGTCAATCCGTTGACATGCTTGCTCCACGCCCACAATTAATTAGACGGACCCCCTAGCCTGTTCGAGTTTGCCCGCCTCGCGATTTGACGTGAATATGAATACGTTCCTCGCCCAAGTAAAGGGCCCGCAGACGTCATCCGCTAAGTGACGTCACGACATAGTGAGTTTATTCAAAACAGGGACTAAATTGCTGGGTTATTGATGGAGATAAGGATGCGTCGTTTTACGCACGAATGTGGATTAATCCGAACATCATTGCTCTCAAAGGACGCTCCCCTAGTGACGGTATTGCTGTTTACGTACGTTTTTTTATCATCGTTTCTGTCGGAACAGTTGACTAAGCAGAGACGAATTCATTCTATTAATAAATACGATCATATGTAACATCAAACATAACTTTACGTTTATAAACGACAATTACATAAATTTGGAAATCGTGCTAAATACATACACACGCACGGACGCACATACACATACTACGGTCACTGCGTAACGGCCACGAGGAGTCAATTAACATTTAACGAAAAGTTCAGTCATTTCGTCATCCAATTGACATCACCGTCACCTGGAGTAAAGAGGAAAAGTGGTTTGTGTCATTTCTATGATTCTCCAGTTGAGTGGAGACATATACAGAATTTAATACTCCTGTTTGCCTGAAACAAGCTGTCTCTCTATTGGTCTGCCTCTTAGGTGTTAGGGTTGGATAGCCAATCGGTCAGAATCTTGTAAATAGCGATTCGCATTGACTCTGATTCTGCCGCTTTTTTGCAAGACATCAAATTCTGGATCACGTCGTTCCTTTGGTGCTATTCGTTGCCATGGCACCTGCGATGGTACCATATAATTGGAAATAAATTGACATTACCGTACATTCAAAAAATAATTATGATGATAAAGGGTCTCGTAATTCCAATCATGGAAATGGTCAATGCAAGCTGACGATAACAAACCAATTTAAAGGGCGGTGGTCGTCGCGCCGCGCATGTGCGACATTTGTGTTATGGAGCGACGACTACCGCCCTTTAAGCGCAAAAGTCAACATGTCTAATCTTTCACAGAATAAAACTTCATAATTTTGTAAATTTAATTCCCCAAATTCCGATCAAAACTGTAGCTCGGTCAAATATTTGATCAAAAAGAAAAACATACAAATATTGCACTAAAATTTTGGCGCATGTAGGGTTAACAATATTTATCCTATATTTTATTTTGATATACGCAATTATTATGATGAGTGTACACTTAATGCGTTCAATGAACGATTAAAAAACAATTTTCTCAAAGAAATAATCAACTGCGTAAACATTAACGCATTTTAATATACTGGTACGTACCAATAATTATAATTGTTTATGAATTAACCGATCATTAACATTTATTTCATTAAAATAAACATTTTCAGTTTCCGATAAAACAATGCGTATATTAAAAATCAATGTCGAACACATAAACTATAAGACATTATTACTCCTTACTGCATGGTTTCTATAAATAGCCCCCTCTAGTGGCAACCACGCATGTGACGTCAAAATGACGTAAATTTGTGAGGCAATGTTGTTTGGTTGTGTAGTCGTTCGTCATCGTGAATTTAGTAAAATCTTTCGAACATCTGCATTGTATATTAAAAGCAAATCACACACACACTGATTGTCTAATTTTTGTGATGTACCTCTCTGTTTAATATCCCAATTGTAAATACCTTGATATCTAAGAAATAAGATGACATACCCGGTGTAAGTATATTGTTGCGATCAGGTGAGTTAAATTCGGGGTGTGGGAATAGATGATTTTTTTCGTTATTTGCGATATCTTGCGCGTTGCGCTAAAGACGCGGACCGAAAATCAGCGGCAAAAATCGAAAAATTTAATTTTAAATATCTTTTTGTATAGATCAAAGTGAACTTTAATAACACTACAACGTTATGACATTTGTGTGTCCGTTTTCCCCTTTCAATTTAAAGCATAACACGGGATCTCGTTCTAAATGGAAAACGGAGGGTCGTCACCTGCGCACGCGCACGCGCAGGAATTGAGTCCCAAGGGATGATAACACAAAGGCTCATGGGTAGACGCTTGTTTGTAAACAGTGACACGCTATAGCCATCTGACGCATGCGCGGGTGACGACTCCCCTGCTTTAACTTGAAGTCGTTTTGCGGTAACACGACATCGGTCAATAGCTGCAAGACACTGATGTGATCACGTGATTACCAGGTCTCAGGATTCCGGGTCATGGGAAAATTCTTTCAGAGTGTTATACATAATACAGGCGATATAATCATAATCTATGTTATACAATATGATATACGCCCCAAATATTCTGAATGTTGACAATAAGTGACCTTATATATGACCTTATGGAGTAACTAGTCCGATTAATACTGTAAAACCATTTATTTTCACTGACGTTTTCTTTTTCTTACTATTTTGATGTTTTAAGCATAATCACTGTATTTTTATTTCACGAATTTGTCAAGGAAACAATGAAATTTATTGTAATTTTACATGCTCACATAGATTTGATTTAGCGGATTTTACTCATCAGCGAAAA